CACCTTCACAGTTTTGCTGTAGTAGAATGCAATCTTATTTCCACTTAACACTACGACCTTATGCCTTGTAAGACCAATGAAGGTTTCTTATCGAAATAAAAGCTGCAGCAAAAAACACATTTATGGCTGTTGAACAAAGGCTTGCAGAAACATTTATTTGAATTTTTGTTGTTATTTTATTAAACAATCATGTTTTACAAGCCATCAGACCTAAATCCTGAAGTGCAAAAATATGTTTCTGAGGTATTAAGAATGGAGAAAACCAGGCACAGTTCTTGTGGAATAAGATTGGCCCAAGACATTTCTCTGTCTAAAGCAAAGAACAAGATGGCACCCATTCCATGCAAGAAAATTGACTTGACTGGCAATTGAACCCTTCTTCAGACTGCAATGAAGCAGCATTTTCCTCTAGACCTCAAGACAACAGGCTAGCTAAAGGGTGCAAGGCAGGCAGGGTGGCGTGTAGCTGTCTCCTTTAATGCCACAGTGCTGCCTCACTCTTATAATTGTTGGGCTGGCTTCCTCTCAAGAAAGACCTGACATTAGAGCAGGCTGAGTGTTTATGAACAGGCTTTTATAGACCATTTGGTGATCCAGAGTGAAATGATATCACAACTGTAAGGTTTTTAATGTATATTTAGTAATAAAATTCAAATAGCCCTGATAATTAACCATTGGTGTGAGTCAGCACGTAACAATACAGACAAAAATTAACACAAGAAGCTGAATGATACCAAGAAGATACCATTTGCAGCAGTATGTACAACATGCAACAGTTCTGTTTGTTGAATGTAATCTTTGATGTAGGTCCAAGTTATCAACATGTGGGAGATAAAACCAGCACCAAACCTACATCCTATTATATTTCTGGACTACGTGGACTCATTTATTGTCAGTACAAAACATCCTACCATTCCTAATACTACCTAGTTTTAAAAAATGACATCACTTTTATCATTGAATTGTAACATTTATCCAATATTAGAAGTGTGAGGCAATGTATATTTGTGAGCCCATAGCCTGCTGTTCTCATTACGCTTCTTTCCTCAAGCAGTTTTCAGCCTACAGTAATAAAACATAATCAGAGCTTGGAATAACTAGTTACAAATAATAAGTTACCTGTAAGAATCTCATTTTTGCAGTAACTAAGATAAGGTATATTGAAGCTACACTGCTAATCTAACATTATGAGAGATAATGCCATTCCTTTTGTGATATAGCTGTAATGGTTTTAATTGCCCAAAGTGTTAGTGGTTTCACTAATTAGGTATGTCTTGTACCACATGTACAAAATGGTTTGCATCATTCTGATTTATTGAAATAGTAGTTAAAAAGTAACTCTATTTTCTTTGGACTAACAAGAAAGTAAAGAGTTACTTCTTAAACGTTTGTGATCTTCTAAAATAGTAACAGTCACTACCTGTGGAGGTCTTGGGACTGTGACAGCAACAAACAACTTTTTAAAGATTACTCTCCAGGTCCAAGGGGAAACATTGTGTGACTTTCTAGAAAAGAAATGAAAAACTATTCTGAACAATAGGCATAAAGCACAATCCACTGCAGACAGTTTAAAACAACCAGCAATTCATTCCTTCCGTGTCCGAGGACTACATGTGTTTTGCAAACTGCAATTACAGCCATGAGGATAAGAACTCCAAACCAGTACACTACTAAGACTCACTAACCTTGACATGCACCCTGTGCCCCCCCCCAGCCATGTCGCAATAAGCTGCTAAGCAACACTGCATAGATTTCCCACTATATATCAGAGCAATGCTGGATTGGGTGCTCCAGAGCTTTGTGGGAAATTTAACAATCTATCTATATTCATGCTCTGTTGATGGCTTGCTGACGAAGAAAGGCACCAATACAAGAAATAGCCCAGATGTCACATTTTACCATGGGCTCTCAATCTGCAGCTGGTCTTGCTATTGACTTTCCAACCTTGGGTTCCCTTATGCTATTGGACTAGAACTCCCAGAAATCCTGGCCAGCACAGGTAGTGGTGAAGGCTTTTGTGAATTTCAGTCAAAGAACAGCTGGGGACCCAAGATAGGGAACTATTGACTAACAAAGTCAAACCTATGTCTTCTCCCTTAGTGTTCTGCTTTGCCTGCACACACATGCATGCATACATACATACCACCACCCCCTCTTTGATTTGCATCTCATCATAATGATAAATTGGATTTCTGAGTCAATAAGTGTACTTGGACTGAATTACCTAATTGAATTGTGACATTTTGCATTTGGCTGGAATTAGATGAATTCACACCTACAATGTATTTAATGGTCAGCCATTTTGATTTTCAGTTGAAAAATATGCTCTCCAGGGAGATGAATGTTCATGAAGAATACTTTCACTGTAAATATTTTCAATGCAATATAGTTGTTTCTTCTTCCTGTCATGATCACTGCTGTTGGTTTAGCATAATTTCTTATTTAGTGCTGTTTTCTACTTCATGGATAATGTATATTAGAAGACATTGAGAAGTCATGCAGTAAACATAATAAAAGTAAACTTTGATTGCTTTTAGTGCCATTAGGAGTAAACAAGTCCAATTCAGAGTTGGGCTGTGCGTCCTATCTTAGAGTGTGATTACACTAGAATGTCAAATCAGAAGGACTTGGTTTTGCTTCAATTTGCTTTGAAGCTTGTATTGTGTTTAAAATAGCAATCAGTGCTCACACAGGGGCTGCAGAATATATAGAGTTCAGTGTTTGCACTGGACACACTGAAATTGGCAGTCCATCCCACATACACTTTCTTTACTTCCTTCCTCTAGTCATGCCTCTGACTTTCATTTTATGGTTTGTTGTAAAGCAGCTTGGTTTACAAATGCACACATTCCATAGTCTTTCATTTCATCTTGCTTGCTTCTTTTTCTGTTCCCTTTAAAAAATGATATGTGCATAGGAGATCCAGTGAACACCACCACCACCACCCCGTGTTCTCTCCTCTGGCACATCATCCTCTGTTATTTTAGTTTGATTTTATTTTCTTTGAATTTCTTTGCATTTCATCTCTCTCTCTCTCCTCCTTCTTCTTTGTCCTGCCATTTCATTCCTGCACTTAATCAACCCTGCTCCGCTCCCTTTCACATGCACTCTCTCAAACAGAAACACATGCATGCACTCTATCCACACATAGTGCACAGACGAGCAAGAGATGGGTCAGATGTCTTCCCTCAGTCCCTCCCCACTCAATAAAGGTGGCCAAGTTCTGTAGTGGCTTCTTTTCTCTCTCCTCCCCACTACACTCCCTGCTCTCTTTCATTATCTCCTTTCTTGCTCTCCCGTTCCTCATTGCTGCCACTTCTCCTTCCTCTCTCTCCTCCTCTACAAACATGCTACCTGTCTTTACACATATCTGCACAGAGAAAAGCCCTTTTGAATCCTTCCAGCAATTAAAAAAAAGCAGAAGCCCCCAAGCAGGAGAGGGGGGGGAAAGCTGTTTTGTGAACAAAGAGCACATGATGGATTTGAATTGGCATTCACATCATTTGAGCAACAAAAAATACTTTGAATTCACCCGTTTTATAAGTGAAGCAAATCTCGAGGTATTTGATGGTGTAGTCAGTGTCTTAGTCACATGCATGATCTAAGTCAGTGGTTCTTAACCTTTGTTACTCAGATGTTTTTGAACTGCAACTCCCAGAAACCCCAGCCAGCAGTTGGTGGTGAAGGCTTCTGGGAGTTGCAGTCCAAAACTCCTGAGTAACCCAAGGTTAAGAACCAATGATCTAAGTCATTCTTTTGTGGAAGAAACAAAATTCCTTTTCCCATCAACTTTTCTCCTTGCCAGACCTAGAGCCCTATAAAAATCACCCGTGTCAAGAGAGTAGGTTGAGTGCACTAAGTTGTGGAAAGGAGACTGAGGGAAAATAGGTTGATGCCTGAAAAGCAGGTATCTCCCATAAGTGGAGTAGAAGACAGCTTCCCCAGAATTTACTGCAATTCACCTCTTTCAAGCTCCCTGTGAAGCACTGGTCAGCAGTGCACTGCTGTCCAATCTACTCAGAAGCATCTTATCCTCAAACAAACATCTGCAGAACTATGGAGGAAGCCAGAAAGGGAAGGGTACAGGGACATTGGTTCCTCTGCATTCCCTTCTACTGTCAGATATCTGGATCCAACTGTGAGCAGCTGCTGGATTTGACTGTGGGGTGGCATAACAAAGGATAAAGAAACTGAATTCAAAGAAAAAGTCATAGAGGGCAATATAAATAAAAGGGTAGCAATACATCTCAATAGAGTGGGTCCTTTTCAGCACTGCCAAAAATGATCTCCTTGACAATGAAGAATTTCAGTGCAGCCCTGCATTTGCAATATAAAATATTCTGGTTTAGGCAAATTCTGATGAAATAAAAGGTCAGCCAAGGCACTATTGTTGCTTTTCCTTTGCACAATGGGAACTCACCCTAACCCAGAACAAGAGTCATCACACCACAGTACTTAATCACATCTCCAAAGCAATTAAAAAATGATAGCTGCTCATTATTTTTAACTGTCTGCAGTTCTTCTCTATAGCTCAGCAGTAAATGAAAACTACACTGTTCAAGTACTGGAATGTGTACAGAATGTTTTGGCATTAAATGTATTGTAATATATAAACATGGAGATAAACACAATGATTGTCCCTTTCAAAAGAATGAATGAACTATTTGAGTATTTCAAACAAATAATTTTGGAGGAGACCTTTTCTTTAAGCTTTTTGTTTGCTGGTTGGTTTTACAGAAGTTACGTTTACCACCTGGGAGGTTTGAAAGCAATTCCGTTAATTGGCAGCATATCAATTATCTGGATCACTCACATGCACACATACGTAAAGTGGAAACGAACAACCATTATATTTACTGCCTATTACCTAAACGATAACAGCTATAAGATTACAAGTAAGAGTAGCTGCAATTTGAAACAGTAGCAGAATACAATCTTGGTGACACTTCCAAGAAAAACACAATTCATGGCAATCCTGCAAAGAAAGTCCCCGTCATTTCTTCCTCCTAGTTAAAAACTGGGTTTTGGACACCACTCAAAACTGGACGACTGCTGGGCCACTTTCTGTGGAGCAGGAGGACAGAGAAAATGAGGAAAATGGTGCTTGTAATTCCTAGAATTACTACGCCTGAAATCAATGCATTGGTGACTGAATTGAGTTGGAAAGTGGATCCATTTGGACTACCTACAGAGGAGAGATAGAGAGAAACGAAGGTTACAAAATTAATCTACAGGTCCAGGAATGTTTTGACAGAAGGTATTTTAAGTCCGTGGGTATTCATACTTAAGGAAACAACCCTGTGCTTCCTGGAAGAGATGGGAAAGGTCTTAGGATGTTTTGGACCCCCACTCCCCATCTCAAGCTTGGGAGAGAGGTCTCTATAGACTGAAAGGGAGAATTGCCTCTGCCCTATAGCTATTTAAAGTTTTGCTGTCCGTGCCTGATATTTTACAAGGCATTGGGAGGCACAATGGGGTGTGTCAGACCAATGCTGGAGAAGGTTGTGCATCTGCCAGATCCCAACCCCCTTTCTTCTCCAGATAATCATCATCATCATCTTGTGCCATCAAGTCAACTCTGATTTATGGCAACCCTTTACAGGGTTTTCCAGGTAGAGAATACTCAGGAGTAGTTTACCATTCCCTTCTGGGGGCATCCTTGGACTGTACAGCTTGCTCAAGGTCATACAAACTGATTCTATTCATAGGTGGCATGGTGGAGAATCAGACTGCCAACCTCTGGCTCTGCAGTTCTAAACGACTGAGCTATCCGGATACATGTCAAAAAAAACCACAAAACCACACAAGTTGTAGAACTAGTGTAATTCATGTAAAGTTAAATGGGACAAAAGTGTTTTTAAAACAAAACTACCCCCTCCAAGAAAAGCCACAAAAACCTGTCTCTCCACCTGTCATCCTAACTGCTGTAATTCAACAAGGCTTTGTATGTTACATCAGTCTGTCCTGCCCCTCAAGATAGGTCTTACTCTGCCTGTTCTGTTGATTCCAGTATGAGAGATTCGTATAGCCTCAAATTGTGTTTCTTTCCAGCTGCCATTAGTGGCGCACAAGCTGTCTGTGTCCTGCTGAAGGCAGCCACGAAGGCAAATACAGATGAACCCAACCTATGTCAAGTCTCAACAGTATAAGAAAAACTGCAACTGGCTTTTAAATGTCCAATCCATTTTGAAGAATAGAATTCGTTAAGCTTTTAAACAAAGGATCATAGGGATTTATTTGGATGTTCACCATTTTGTAATTATCTTCCCACTGCCAATTAACAGAAAATACTGCAATACATCAATCAGACTAAATTCAAATAGTTCCACTAATCATGAGTGTACAATTCAGATACTGGGTTTTCTAAAGCAGTTCTTTGTACAGTTGTTACTGGAACAACTTACCAAGTTGTGAATTGTTGGTTGGGGTCTCATCTGTTTAAAAAGAAAATCCAAAAATATTGTGATCTGAGGATATTATTTTTACAATCTCTTTCTGACTTTGTAAATTCCAAGATGAATAGCTACAGGTGTTTTCAGATTATCTTTTCCTCACTAGAAATCTACTTATCAAACGCAAGCATGCAATGTTACTAATGGAAAAATAAAGCTGTGATTTCATGCACACTCATGTGGGAGTAAGCCTTTTTTAATTCAGTGGGATTTATATCTAAATAAACCTCCACTGGATTATGCTGCATATTTCAAGGCCTCTTAATCATCCAGTGGTGAGTTATTTGATGTTCTTTTTAATGGATTGATTCTTGAAACTAATTAGTAATTATTATACTAATAATTTTAAAATAATAATAATAATAACAGCAATAACGATAAGCATAATACAGAAATAAGTATTGCAGATGTGGGAATCATGCAACACTGTTTTGGGGCTCTCCAAAGTCCAAACGTTGGTGGCAAGCAAATTTTACACCTGCTCCTCAGTGCCATTTAGAGCAAAACATTTTGCTTGCTTTAAATGGTTTATAATGAAATGCAATGGTTAACCACTACCACACGTAAAACTTCAATCTTGCGTTACAGCAAGCAAAAGCTCCATATTCAACAGAGTTTTTATCACGATTGTTATCAAAATTCGTAGCAAGCACATGTATGCTGGTCTGACTTCAAATGGCCCCTAGACCAGCTGAAATTGCACCCCCTCTCCACTGGTTCCACATTATCCCATTTTGACATGTCCATGTCTTTGAATTCCCTCTTAATCTTCATCTCAACTTGCTATTCCTTCCTCACTTTAAAACATGGCAGCAGATTTCAGTTGTTCACCCCAAGGAAGATGATTGAACCTTTTGTGGACTATGATTTTGTGGCACTTTCCATCCTCACATAAAAAACCATAACTGATGTCTGGAGATGAAAATATCCATTGCTTCAACTTTTCCTATTTGGAAAACTTTTCCTATTTTCCCATCAAGGAATACCCAGTTCTAATCTGCAGCTTCATATATTTTTTATTATTTGTTTTAGTTTTGTTTCTCTGGTAAGATATTAATTGCATCAACTTTATAATGTGACACGGGCAGTTTAAATGTACTGTGACAGTAATGTGATGTGACAGCTTAAACCATGACAGACAAAGAACGAATAAGAAAGTGAAGAAATGAATTACCATATGCTGAACTTCAGAAATTGAACTTTTATAATCAACAGTAAATTTCAAAATGTACCGGTTGTTTCCATATGAGGAATAAATCCTGACACTCTAGAAGTGGCAATAAAACAAATGTCTAGGTCCCTGAAAAAGCCTGTTTAAGCATTTCTCCTCATGTGTGCTTGCTGCTCTTTACCTTCTTTTGGCATTTTTAATAACCTGGCCCTGCTACTCTTCATGTGTTAGATGGGAAGACTTCTGAACTAAGGAGCTTAGAAAAGTTACATCTTTTAGCTGCTCAATGCAAGAAGTTCCCCATACATTTTCCAACGCCCTGAACAGCCAATGTCCTGAGCAAGAGACTGTGCGTGCTTACCAGGCTCCATGCTTCAGCCAGGCCTGCATGTCCTGAAAAGGAGTTGATGCGTGCCTACCAGGCTCCATGCTTCAGCCAGGCCTGCTCTGATATATAAGAGAGCAGCCAGGACTATGAGAAACCTCATAACGGCACAGAACATGCAAATACTGTTCCACCATTGCCCTCAAACAGTGGTATTCACGTAAGGTTCAAAAGCCCAAGAGTGCTCTGGAGCCAAATAAAAGTAATTCCTAAAAGGAGTTGATGCGTGCCTACCAGGCTCCATGCTTCAGCCAGGCCTGCTCTGATATATAAGAGAGCAGCCAGGACTATGAGAAACCTCATAACGGCACAGAACATGCAAATACTGTTCCACCATTGCCCTCAAACAGTGGTATTCACGTAAGGTTCAAAAGCCCAAGAGTGCTCTGGAGCCAAATAAAAGTAATTCCTAGACAGGAGAATGCTTAGTTGTGTTTCTGAGCTCGTTCAACAATAGAGTCATTCCTACCTGTCCTAGTAATGATGGGTCCAGCAGAGATGACAGCAGTGCCAGAAGTGCTCTGAGGACTCCAGGTGGTTCCTTTTGCCACATCTCTTCTTTTTCTGTTGTTGCAGATCTGGAGGGGTCAGTCAAAACAATCATGATTACAAAGTGGACCAACTTGTTTTCTCCATTATTATAGAGGATGAAAATAGAAGGATATTTTGTTTCACTTCTTGTACATGGGAATATATCTTACATTAAAACCACTAAAGTACTCACTGAGTACAATATCATTGATGTCTGTTTGCTTCTTTTTCCACTCAGAATGGTCTTTTGTATTGTATTTCATATCCAGTATATTAACCTGGACCCAATTTGCTTTAGTGCAGCAAAGATTTCCACAAACTAGGGTTGGTTTTTTTTTAACATACTGCTGTGTTGCTTCCAACTTACAATTACCTTACTAGAGATACTGAGCTACATAAATTGTTTGAGTAATGATTTCCACCCCGCCCCCCAACGTGGTGAGTTCCTATGGCCCAGCAGGATTTTGAACCCAGGTCTCCTGGGTCATAATCTGACTCTCTAACTGCTACAACACATTGACGCTCCATAAATTTGTACATTGGGGCAATATCCTGGTGTTCCTGAAGCCCTGAGGTCCTTTCTGATGCTGTTCTGGGAATTTTTCCAACCTTCGAGAGGAAATTTTTATAGACACATACAATCAGAAGGGAGAATCAGTATAAATCACCTCTCACCCCCACAGTCATTTTTGCTTTTATAAGGCCCTTTTGGAACACCATTGATCTCTGGAAAGAACCTATTATATTTGATTCTACAATATTTCCTTTGTTATGGTTCTGTATGTATTCACCCACCAAATCAGTTGACTTTATTCTAAACACCATTATTGCATCCCGGATTATATTCCGGTAATCTAGGCATTTGTAATTCTATGCATGCAAGACATCCACACTATATATAGTATGGAGTCCTATCAATGACAGTTGTCTGTTCAGCTCCAAACTGTAATTTTCCAGGCAGATCCTCTTCACATGTGGACAGTGAGGTGAAAGATGAGGGAAAGATGAATTTAGCTTTCTTGTTCACATTCCCTCTGCTAAACACAGACTAACTGAACAGGGCTTATCTGAAAGCAGTAATCTGTAAATGACATATCTTTTCTTTCTATAAGTGTATTAGTAATGGGAAAATCACCAGGCCATGATAAGTTTCTTTCAAATATACCAGAGCTGATAATGATACAGTACTTCATTCTATCATCTTAAAGACATACGTGTGAGAATTACCATGAATTACATTTTGAGTTAGTGGTAACAGTGAATGCTTCACTTTTCATCTCTCATCCCCCACAGTGTAACCAAAGTGAAACCCCTCCGAAGTTAACACCACAAACACAATCTGAAACCTACAGGAGCAAGAAAGGGACAGTCATCAGCTCTGCACAGTTTTGTCACACAGTGAAGAAAAACTGTGGACATTTTCTGGTTCTTGTGCTTTACGAAGCGGAACACCTCGAAGGAAAACCGGCCCATTTGACTCTTGCCATTTTCAATTATAGTTGTCTGAGGGTCCTTGTCACAACTGAAGGAAAAGATTGAAACATGGATAATTTCTTTCTGGTTCCAAGTGAACAGAGCCACAGAGAAAAACAGTACAACATCATAAATGCTACAAAATGCAGGAGAAGGTTTGAAATCTTTCCCACTCATGGCATAGTCTGAAGCCATGTTGCAGAGCTAAGCAGACCTGGATTTAATGGGAGATAACCTGAGAACTCCTTCAAATTCTGTGCTGACTTATCACACCACCATACATGAAGGCTGTGTGTTTTAGATCTACAGAAATTGGTGATTTAAATATCATTTCTTACCATGTGAATCACTGGCAGGGTGAAGGGCTGTTTTAAAACCACTAAAAAGCATAATCAATATGAGATAGTGCCACTGATGACAATGAGTGTTGTACAAGGGGAGATTACAAATCACCCTTGTACAACACAGCTTTACTTGATATAAATGAGAGATTACTTGACAGGTTATTTTGATGGCCGATTTGATAAATGATGCAAAGTTACCCCAAAGTGAGAGTGAGTACCTTGCACTTCCACATATATAGTGTGGCCATCAGTCTGGACTCTCACTTTTGAAGAACCTAAGGATAGTTGCCCTCCATCAGATTAAAGGCTAAACTAGTATTATTTTCCCACAGTGGCCAATCAGATGCTTATGGTAATTCTACAATCAGGACATCTCCATTCATGTTGTTTACATGTCTGGTGTTCAGATGTGTACTGCCCCCATTAATTGAGGTAATACATAGCTCATGTATGAGCCAATCATGAATTTCTGGCTATTGGTGAAGCACACATTTCAGTAACCCTGAGCACTTTTGTTGATGCTGGCTTCTGAAAGTAGAAGTCTAATATCTTGGGACCTTAGATTGAGAACCATGGATTTAGCCATTGCAACTACAAACCACTGATATACTCATTCTCTAAGAATTTGTCTAGTCCCCTTTTCAAGGTAATGATCATTTATTTATTATTCATTGGACAAAATCCGGTTGTATAGCACAGTAAGTTGCATCAAAGTAGGCCCATTGAATCAGTGGGGATTTACTGAGTCAACTCCTCCATAAATTCCAGTGATTCAAATGGGCCTACTGCAACTGCAATTTACTACACTAAATTAGATTGTTATTTGCTTTAAAACTATTTCCTTCATGTACATTCATTCAAGCAATAGACTAGACTCATCTGATGATCACTAACAGTGACCATTATTTACATGCACATTTCATCACTGATAAATGAAAAGTTAATTCTTCTGCAAGGATTACATATAACTCAGACTACTATCTGTTTTCACCACTAATCTCAGAGACTGCACATAAGTAATGCTTTATTTAAATTAGAACATTTGTGCATGGTTTGGAACTAATCCACTAATCTCAACAATATGATTGACAACATCATACTTTTTAAAATATGCCTACCTAAAGAAGAGATCATATCGCAGATCGTCATTTGGATTTCCAGAAGGAGTTGTATAGCAGTAGTCCATCAAAACATTCCATCTGTACAATGAAAGTTAATTAATTGTTAAAAGAGTACTTGAAGTTCATTGCATTCAGATATGTACTGTATGCTGATAGCTATAATATATGCCATTGCCTTCTATTATGATCCAAGAGATAAGTCACTGTGCTTTCACTAAAACAATTCAGTTTTTCTTTCCTATGTTACTGATGTTGATCAATAGATGAGAGAAGGAACTCTAGTCTTGCTCAGTAAATAGTAGGGAAGTGACAGTCATGAAGTGTGATACTTGTCATGTTTGCTATGTTTTCTTTGGCTATTTAAAATTTTGTGAGAACATATAATCAGAATTCCCGCGTTGTTCTTTTAGAAGGTCGGGTTTCTAAGAACATAGTTGGAGCCCTGCGGCATCCGATCAAAGGTCATTCTAGTCCAGCATTCCATTTGTATAGTGACCAACAGAAGCTTAGGAGGATCCTAGTAGAAGAACATGACTGCAATAGCGCAATAGCAGCTTCCTGCATTTTGTCATCACTTACTAATACTGTAATATCAAACCAAACAGAGTGAATCCAAGTTGGGATTCTGTAATTCAAAGACAGCCATCAGCAAATTGTACCCACCAGTTGAGATTTGATTTGATTTGATTTATATTAGTGCAAAAGCACTGTTCTAGGTGGTTTAACAACGTATTAAAACCAAATACAGAAAACAAGCAATTAACAACACTCACAATATAAACATCCCAAAGGCACCAAAGCAATTTACAAAAGCAACAGGACCAGAGATGAACATAATATCAACCCCTCCTCAGTATGAAAGGCATCCCTAAAAAGAAACATCTTAAGTTTTTGTCTGAATGACAAAAGGGAGAGAGCCAGGCACAGCTCCTTTTGAAGTTGATTCCATAAAGTTGGGGCCACCACAGAGAATGCCCTGCCTCTAGGGGAAGACTTTCAGGCCTCCCTCAGGGTGGCCGTCCAGAGGAGCCAGGTCTGGGAGGATCTGGTGGGCCAGATAGATGACATTGGAGTCAGAAACGCCAACAATGTGGTCCCCAAACCATGAAGCACTTTGTACGTTACCAATTCTTTCATACACTGCTTCATCTGTACTATCCAAAACTGCATGATGGATTATAGGTGAGCCGAAATCTAGTCTTTAAAAAGTACTGGCCCAGTATTAATAATAACCAACAACTAGAATGGAATATTCTTATTCACAAATGAATACGAATGTCCAGGACCCAGGTGGCCCAGATCCCTCAGGCTCACCTCCCAGAACTGACCCATCTGCTTACAGGCCACAATCAGCATGGGGAGCTGGATGGAATATTCATATTCACTAATGAATATGAATGTCTAGGACCCAGGTGGCCCAGATCCCTCGGGCTCACCTCCCAGAACTGACCCATCCACTTACAGGCCACAATCAGCATGGGGAGCTGCCATGCCCATTTCTGGAAAGCCCGGCTGCTACTTCTCTGACTTCTTGCTCTTCTGACCACTCCAGTGGAGGGGGGCAGGAGGATAAGTCTCCCTGCCTCCCTTCTTGCCCAGTCAATCTCAGGCAAAGAGGAGAGATTTGTCATCCCACTGATGATGACTCTGGGCATGCAGGGCAAATGGATCAGTGAGTTCTGGGGGTGGGAAGTAATTGGGCCAACCACCTGAGCTGGCAGGATTCATCTTCATAGATGAAGGTGAATCCCCCATCTCTATGGTACCAAGCAATGCTGCTCAGATTGCTTGTCCTAGGCTAACTGCTTAAGGAAACATATTGTGATTCATCAGGAGAGAAAAGAATATATTCACCAAAGAGATAAGGAAACATATTGTGATTCATTAGGAGAGAAAAGAATATATTCACCAAAGAGCTTCATCCCTTAACTTCCTCCAACCAATGAACTGTTTCAGTGAGGTTTAACCACCATGGCTCAAGACAGATTTTATACTACTCCAGATATTCTCAGATATTTAGAACTATGCTGTGCTCTGTTCTGGAGGAATGCCATCCTTGGCTCAAAGCAGGAAACAACATGATTTCCTTATTACATAGAAATCTTCTACTATCTTACTAGGGTTTCCAATTTCTGAAATATCCCTGGAAGACTGCTAATCAATCAATTATGCAAACAATCTACTGAATCTAAATTGGTTGCAACTGTAAGGAATAATACTGCATATTGGAATGTCATTTCTTACAGTCATACCCAATCTATGTTTTGCTGAGTCTGAATGATCTATAATGACGATATGTTATTTGTATTTGGGGAATAGATAAGAATTTTTTAAAAAATGACATAAAGGCTTTTCAAGACACCCCGGAAATCAAGATCATCATTGCAGATTATAGGTGAGAGTGCACAGAGAAAAGACATGTCCATGCTCATCAACAAAGCTGGGACTTGAAAGTCGAAGCCTAACCTTTGAATCTAAGAATGACAGTTGTGCTATCAGATAAGAGACACTCCCAAATTCATCTATAAACTAGATCCCCATGCAGAAGATGCCTTGTTGAATCCTGGCATCTCCAGCTATAGGCAGAGTCATACATATCCACCTTTGCACCGAGGGCAAGTGGCACTACCTCCCACTTGCTCCACCCTGAGGCATGGATGTGAGCCTTCAATGAAAACGGGTAAGGAAGATGTGGTGTTCTCCCATAGAAAAAGAAAGGTTCTTTCATTTCAAAGAAAAAAACAAAGAAGAAGAAAAAATGAATATGGCCAAGAGGTTTTGCCATTTATCTTCCCAATATCCTCTAGCCAAATCATCTCCATATTTTGTGCTGGGGGGAAAAAGACCCACAGGGCTGGTTACAAGATAAGAAAACAACAGGGGGCAAATCTAAGAACTTGGAATGCTGTTGCAGGCAAAGCAGACAACACAGGGCAAAACAGACTAAGGCCCTAACTCCACGTAAGACCATTTCATATGTCTAGAACCATTATAGCCACAATTTTGCATTTGTGCAGAATTCTGTTTAAAACTACAGATACTTAAGGAAAATGAAGGCTATCATTCACAGTACCTTCCATCAAGGTTTGTCGCTCTCACTGCTGCAAACACTTTTGTTTTCAAAGGTAACCCTGTACTAGGTATAATCAGCTGCTGGCTGTAGGTGGTGTCCTAGAAAAACAGATATTTTTAGTAATTCTCAGGCAATATCATCTCATGTAGAACAAAAGCATTAGTGGCCAGGCTTAAAATGTAATATCTGATGAATGGAATACTAAAGCTAGGATGTAGAAAGCCCAGAGGTTAAAACTATTCTGTTTTAAACCTTAGTTTTGAGGCAGCATTGCAGGTCTGTATTAAACCAAAGTCTTGAAACCCCTGGCAAGGAGGTTGGGTGTCTCACCATGACATTTTTGGTGGGACACCCCCAGCTCCAGTCAGACATTTCCTTCACTTCAAACCCAGGTCATCACCACGATGTAGTTTGAGGGCATTTCATAAGGGATAAAGACTGCAGTGTTTAATCCATTATTCCTGCAAACCACTCTTCCCTTGCAATGCTCCTCCAAATCCTTTCCTTCACTTTCCTTCTCAGCTGCTATAGAAAAATTGCACCCATGGCCAGTGTCATTGGGAGAGGAGCATTGGGGGAAAACAACAAAAACAGGGAAGGTAAAAAACTTAGTTCTATAGTTCTTCCCAACAAAGTGGCTCCTTGACCATTCTGCAATAGAGAAGCAGTTGGCTACCATCTCCAAAGCCCAGGTTCACCATTAAAAGCACAGCGGGACTTTAATGAAGCGCATAACCTCTTGGTGTTGACAACTGCACATGCTACCTCCAGCTTGTTTGAGTGGGAGGGGTTTCTATAGCCTGGGAGTAACTGTCAACCTATCTAGCATTAATCAATCATTCACTCCTGTGTGTCAGAATTCTAAGAAAGCCCTACCTCTATGCTGAGAAAAAACCATTTCCTCAGAAAATATGTTAATGTCCGTTAAAAGTACTTGGCAGAAAATGTTACAGTATATCTGTTACAGTATATTGAAGCAGAGTTGTTAAAAGCAGTTAGATTGTTAGTTTGTTTATTTGTTGTTAATTAGAGATGGGCATGAGCCACCAGTTCAAAGGTGTGTGCCAGTTCAAATAGGGTTTTAATGGGTCATAGACTCCCTAGTATTGTTTAACACCCCCCAAAAAATCCCCTTTCAAAGGAAGTTAATGTCTCAGTTGTATTTGTAGAAGGTGGCATTTTGAGGGTCTTTGTGGCCACTGAAAGGTTCTTGGGATAGAAGACTGGGCCCCATTCCCACTTGGCACTGTTTTAGATGGCAGTACTGGTTTATATTCTGTTAGCCAGATTTTTTGCACTCCCAAATAATTTCCATAAGACCCACCAAGATTCAAAACTAAGCGCATGGAAATGAGATGCTATGATGTCATTGACACAATTGTACATTTATTAAATAAATAAATAAATAAATAAATAAATAAATAAATAAATAAATAAATACATACATACATACATACAT